ATTGTGACTACCGCGGCTGACTGCTTTTCTTTGTTTTTTAGAGGCAAGAGGGGTGCATCTCTAGCTTGCCGTCATTTGTTTATTCAAGAGCTTTTCCTCAGGATGAAAATGGAAGAACCAAACCCAGCAGTCCCAATGCAAAAAGAGGCATTGGACACCAGAGGAAGAGCTACTTGTGGCTTCCACAATGCTGCCAGTCATAAGCCAAGAATGAATTCTGAGGGAGGGAAGGGACCCTTGGAATATTCCCAGTATTCTGGGAATATTGGTGGATGCCACAAGAAGTCAATTCCATGTCCAATGAAAGAGGAATCGGAAGATGGTTTGGCGCATTGCTGGGAAACCCAATGGCAGGAGTTCCTCAAGATGGTGGAATCCCCTCATTCCAGCTGGGAGACCCCACAGTCGCCGGAGGAGCCCACGCCATGGGACAATGCTCAAGCATTCCTGGTTTCCTTTGAGCAAGTGGCCGAAGCCTGTCGGTGGCCCGAGGAAGAGTGGGTGACCCAACTTCTGCCAGCCCTCAGAGGAGAAGCCAAGTTGGCCTTTGAGAGAATGGCAGCTGGAGACAGAGGAGATTACGGGAAGGTGAAGGCGGCCATCTTGCGAGGGGACGCCCTGCGACGGGAGAGGCAGCGTCAACACTTCCGACGTTTCTGCTACCGGGAGGCCGAGGGGCCGAGAGGGGCTTACAACCAGCTGCAGAAACTTTGCCAGGGATGGCTAAAAGCCGAGAGGCACACCAAGGAACAGGTCCTGGAGCTGCTGATCTTGGAGCAGTTCCTGGCCATCCTACCACCTGAAGTCCAAAGTTGGGTCCGGCAATATGGCCCAGAGACCTGCTCCGAAGCAGTAGGCTTGGCTGAGGACTTTCTGCTGAGGCAGAGAGAGGTCAATGGCTGTTGTGAACGGCAGGTGGGACCTTTGACTGTGCTCCTTAAACCTCTGGATTTTCAGACTGGAAAAAAATGGATTTTATTGGAATACAGTTCCCATATTCCCCCAGGCATGGCTATACTAGCAGGAGGATTCTGGTCTTTTTCAGACCTCAAAAAACATTTCCAAGCTCCAAATATGGAGAAGGTTTCCTCCTGTCTTTATGTCCACTTCTCCGTTGTGTGGCTGCATGCCATGCTGGGGATCTAAGGCTACATCTACACTACAGAATTAATGCGATATGACACCATTTTAACTGTCGATGCTGTGGAATTCTGGGATTTGTAGTTTTGTGAGACATGTAGCCTTCTCTGTCAGAGATCTCTGGTGCCACAACAAAGTACAAATCCCAGGATACTGTAGGATGGAGCCCATGACAGTTAAAGTCATGTCAAACTGCATTCATTCCCCAGTGTGGCAGCAGCCTATCTGTCCCAACAGGGCAAGAGGGAGGTCGAAAATGAAACCAAATAGCTAATGAGCTTTTCACATATGTCTAAAATAAAAGCAGTGGGAGAAGCATTGCAGTGGCTAGCTAGGAAGTGAATGGTTTTATAATTGCTCTGCTACTTATCCCTTCTGGGAGCGTTAATGGGTCCTCGATCTAGAGAGAATATACTGGTTTGTGCTTCCTCCTCCTGAGTAATGCTCAGATGGAAGGCCAGATGGGCACTGTGATAGAAAAATATAGATAGATAATAGATGACTAACAAATTAAACATTATAAATATATTTTAAAAGGTTTAAATCACACACACACGCATTTTATGTATACATACAAGTTGAGTCTCCCTCATATACAATTCCAAAATGCTCCAAAAATCCAACAAGGTCACTAATATAAATGGACTCTTTCTTTCCAGTGGTCTCAGTGCCCATGATACTAGTGAGGACTCCCAAAACTGGTTGCAGAGACTCTGGTTGCAGGGGCCCAGATCACTGCAAGAAGTAATTGGGCACAGAAAGGTTGTTGGCAGAAAGGGGAAGAGAAAACTATGGGGCAAGGAACAGATTGGAGTTTCTGGAAAATGGTGTTGGCTGGCATTGTCAACAAGAGCATTCCATGTTGCATTATTTTGTGACATGCCCCAGTTGCATTCATATATTTATTTAAAGAAACTGTCTCTTCTGAATGTGGCAATAGGGCTGGGAAGAGATACCTTCCTTATATGCCTTGAGGTATCCTTTACCTCTTCTTCCACCTGGCCCTGCTTTCACCCTTACACACACTCTCTCAGTATACAAAGGCAAGGGTCCCAAGTGTCTTCCTCTTATTAATTCAATATATTAGGTAGCATGTTTGTCTTTGGCTATAATATCTAGAATTGACTCAGGAAGAGACTTCTGTTATAACAAATAAACAGTAACTTTAGCGATAACATTTAGTAAAAAAAAATAGCTTAACTAAAATAGTTCAACTTAGTGTGGTTATCATTTTCTGTGGGTTTTCTGGGCTATGTGGATGTGTTCTGGAAGAATTTATTCCTGACGTTTCGCCTGCATCTGTTTCCCTCCCGACAATGGATTGCTAATTAAATAGACACACATCCACTATGCATGTCCTCCCACCCTGAGGCCTTGCCATTCAACAACAGATCAACACACAGATTAACATGTAAATCATTTCTTCGCAAACAAGGGTCACATAAGTATATGTACCCCACACACTTCCATGCCACCACTCTCTGAAGATGCCAGCCAATGATGCAGGTGAAATGTCAGGAATAAACTCTTCCAGAACACGGCCACACAGCCCAAAAAACTCACAGAAAACTATGGACACTGGCCGTGAAAGCCTTCATCAACTTCACATTAGCGTGGTTACTTTA